ATGCTGGAAAACAGTTTTGAAAACACATTTAGGCCGGACTTCTCAAAAATTACAGATTTGGCCCAAAACTTCTTAAGATCTACACATGCAACCCCATAAAAGTTCAAAATTCATTTTCTTGAAACCCCCTTTTTGAAATCTTAAATTGATGATGCTTTTGGCCAATAAAAGTTGTATCCACCCACTACCAACATAGATGAGGCATGCAAGAAGAAGAGATTAAGGATTAACACAAAATTTCCATTTTCCCCAAAAATCCCTAACTTTCGAAATACTTAAAAGTCTTTTAGGTAATCTTGAAAACTCTTTTAAAATAATATGATATCTTCTAATTGCAGCAAGAAACTCGAAATTTCTTACCTAAATCACCAAAAGGAAAATGAAGAACAAGCAAAATAGAGAGACTTCAAGGGTTGATGCCAAACTCGAACCAAGCCACTTTTATGGTGAAGGGTATAGTGTGTGCTTCCAAAATGGATGTGTTGTTTTCTCCGGTGAATGGACAAGTAGTTTTTATGGTGTTCTTTGCATACTCTAGAGCCATGGTTAAATAGGGGATTTTCATGGTGGTTTTTGATTTTTCTTGTAACATGAGTGGTGATGTGGAAGAAGATGAACAACAATGGTGGTGGTGAGGTCTCGGTGGAGTGAGGGAGAGGAAGCCAAGTAAGGAGGTTAGGTGTTGTAAGGAAAAAGTAGAAGAGTGTCTCTTCAAATCTCTTGAGTGTGGATTAGGAGAAATGTTTAGAAAATGCCAAGTGTTAAGTCATGCAAAATATCACTAATTTTATTTATTTATTTTAAACACCCCTCTTTTTACTCACACACATTTCACCTGAGTCATATGCATATATATAAAGCACACACATAAATATATAATCATATAAATATATGTATAGTACGTATACATGTGTATGCATGATATATGTATATGCATGCACATATACTAGATAAAGAAAATGCAAATTTTGATTATTTAATTCCATTAAATGCGTAAATCATATATTTCACGAAATCACAAAATCACGTATTCGTTAAACGCATAATAAAGCTACCAAATATAGCACGTCCAAGTATCTAGACATTTATGCAAATTATCAATTTAATTCACGTTAAAATTTTCGAGGAAAATTTAAGTTCGTAGTTTGGGATTTTGAAAGTATGGGGTATTACAATCACTGACTGCACAAATCAAACTCATTCCTCTTCTTCTCAAGGTATTTGCACATTCATTAGCATAATGTCCAAATCCTGAACAGGCCCTGCATTTAATATGATCCAAGTTAGGTGGTTCAGAATTTGAACAAATAAATGAAGAATTTTTTAAAGTGTTTTGAGAAGATGTTTGAGGAAATGTTCTCTGTGGAATAGATCTGTTCCGGGGCTGAGTTTGTCGATTTTGTGGAGAGCCATCTGGAAATAACTGTCTGGGCTTGATTCCACTTCGTCTGTATGCCCTATTGAATTTCTGAATTTGGAATGCAACATTGTTGAGACATTCCTCTGCATCATCATCATATTCCGGAGCAACATCTTCCTTCTCTAATTCTGCCTGGAGTGCATTTGAGATAGCCTTTCCTTTCTCCTTTCTTTGATCTTCAAAGTTCATCTCTCTAGACTTTAGACTACCAATTAAGTCGTCCAGCCGTAGAGATGATGTGTCTTTGGCCTCCTCAATAGCAGTAACCGTCATGCTGAAGAGTTCTCAATACCTTATTCACCAGTGTCTCGTTGCTCAAAGGACCACCTAAGGATTGAAATTCATTAGCTAAATCAATCAATTTCTCATTGTAGTGAGAAATTGTTTCAGTTTCTTCCATTCTCAGTCTCTCAAATTTGGAGGAGAGTAATCTGAGCTTAGTTCTTCTAACACTGTCTGATCCTTCACAATGTAGCTGAAGAACTTCCCAAGCATCCTTCGCAGAAGTGCACACTGAGATCAATTTAAACATTGTTAAATCTACTGAATTAAAAATTGCATTTAACGCCTTTGAGTTTTGGTTAGCATTTGATAGATCGTCTGGTGTCCACCGTAATTCTGGTGTTGGAAACACATCCCCATCCGCATTTGTGATAGTTGGTGGCTTCCATCCAGTGAGAATAGATCTCCAGGCTCTCTCATCAATGGCTTTGATGTACGCCCTCATCTTGACTTTCCAGTAGGTGTAGTTTGTGCCATCAAGTACAGGAGGTCGCATAGAAGCAGTCATCTGAGTATCCATCACGAATTCGTTTCTGTAAAAGAAATAGGAACAAACACTTAGTATACGTCAAGTGTTGGCTCTTGATGCCAATTGAAAGAATTTATGGTCCCGAATTCGTTTAATACAGAGATGTTATCTGAAGTGTTATAACACTTGAGTAAACATGCAGCGGAAATATAAAGATAAAAAGACAGTACTCAGATTAAAAAAAAATGTTCACAAGTAAAGACTTGTGAACTTGTCCTTTACAGGACGAAAAATATATTAAAAACAGTATTCCAAGAATACAAACAGAAGAGGTGCGAAAACTTCTTCCTCATGAATGAATCATTCTCATGATCATTCTTACAATCAAATCTAGATACAAAAAGAGAAATATTAAAAATTCTAGATTTCAAAGAATGTACTCGTAAGGAGTACGTAAAGAACTTCTTTCTTATGAATGAATCACTATCTTGATCATTCTTACAACCAAGTCTAGAAACATATATACTAAACAATCTAGACTACAAAGAATGTACTTATGAGAAGTACGTAAAGAATGTACTCATGAGGAGTACGTAAAGAATGTACTCATGAGGAGTACGTAAAGATTGTACTCATGAGGAGTACAACCAACCGATTCTAAAAACACACTAAAACACTCATGTATTCTTTTCAGCTCTCGGTGTTTATTTCGTAGAATCGATCAACTTTCCTTGAGTCTTGAAGTCGGTATTTATAGACATTCCAAGCTTCCACTCCTCAGCCCATGATCTGCAAGAAAACCAACTACAAGAGCACTCAAGAACATGGGTTAGTGGGTTAGTTTAGTAGTTAGAATAATATCCACAATTTAACCCACTAAACACTACTTAGTCCACTAAGTAATATACTTGGCCCACTAAGCCATATACTTAACCCACTAAGCACTACTTATTCTATAATTAAAATTTAGTTAGAAAATAAGAAAGTTAAAACAAAATGTGGAAATAATCCACGTGTTTCAATGTGACAACAAAATATTGAAATTGTTTGCTCTTTTTATGCCAACAACAAATTTGAGATTTTCCTCTGGGCCTATGGTTTGTTTTTTATTTTTAATCGATGGAATCCGTAACCAAATATATAGGTGCCCTGACACTCTCATATAATAGCTTGTATCAGAGATGTAAATTACATTGGATATATAGGTGCACTGGGTACATCCAAACTCTCGTGTAATAGCTTGAAAGCTTTCAAACCATATTAGAAATGTAAATTACAATAGGCTAACCATCTGTGACAAGTTTACTTAGCGATCGTTGGCAAGTGGATTCAAATCTGAGTCAACTGATATAGACTCACTTACTTCAACCGGTAGACTATCCTTTACGGGACTAGAATTATATATATTTGTAATATGTTTATGTTCAAAGACGTGTAAACATGAATTGTCGTAGACAATTGACTAATTAATGTCAGTGTAACTTTTGGTAATTAAAAATATTGTTGATATAGTTGGTGTAGAATATAAAATTCATATAATAATTAATTAATTATTTACGAATATTGCAATAATGTCAAGTGTCAACACTGGCTCTGTCGTATATATAAAATATGAGTAAATTGCAAACACAGCCCTGGTGTAATCCTCAATTGCTAAAAAGGTCCTTGTGATGTAACAAGGTAAATAGCACTTAACCTGCCTTGGTTACAAGCTATTGCATATGACTTACTGATCTTTTTAATATTAGCACATAACCACCTCGTGGTTCATGTGGGTAGTTTTTCGTTAATTTTTTCGTCAAACTTTATTGCCAGTGTCAAACGTCAAAGCAATTTTTTAGCAGATTACCTCCTTGTGCTTTCATTTTCCCTTTCATTTTTGCAGATGACCCTCTTGAAGTTTGACACACGCGGTTAAGTTTGATTGAAAAGTAACGGAAGCTATACTCCCATAAACCACAAGGGGATTATGTGCTGATATTACGAGCACAGGGGGTCATCTGCAAAAGCTTGTAACCGCAGGGGGTTAAGTGCTATTTACCCTTATAAAAATTAGCAAACACCCCCTATGATTAAAAGTCAAAGGCGAAAAAGTCCCTTAGAGCTGCTCGTGGTTCTCACGCATGGGTTGTGCAGTTATTTTAATAAATTTTGGGGTAAAATGACATAAACACCCTTTTATACATAAATGTATCTTAATTTTAATGTAATTATAAATAATTCAAATTCAAATGACCAAATAGCAATATTCAAAATCTTAAAATCCTGATCATCTTCTTTCTCCCTCGCCCTCTCAACTCCGCCCCTTTGAAAAAAAAAATCCAGCACCTTTGGAAAAAAAAATAATGCTTTCATTGCTTGAAACCCGCCGGAAGACAAAGGAACTTCACGTGGATTCAAACAACGGAGATGGGTTTGGAGCTCATCGGCGGAATCAATTGTAGGTGGTGATGGTATGCGTAGTGTGTATTTCAACCTAGGTTTAATAACGTTTTGGGAAACTTACAATTCAGTCCCCTAATTTATGTTTTAGAAGTTATTGCAATTTGGCTTCTATTGTATGTTAATTAGTGTTTTATGTTATTAACTTAAGGGTATATTTATCTTTCCATATCTGGTCAATGACTAAAATCATAATAGGTGCAGTGAGCTAATAAAAAAAACTTATATAGTGAAAATTTTGCTAATTTTTATAACACAAAGACTCTTTTAGCATTACACATAGTAGTGTTTGCAATTTACTCTATAAAATATATTAAATTGAAATTTTACAGTTAATACATATGTTCTTCTCCAACAAATATATGCTTATAGCTAATAGCTCCAAAAATGAATGAATTCCCGACAAGGCCAGTTGACTGCTTATGCTACCTAGTAACCCTAGCAATCCTAGTTTTCATTTCTCTAACAGTCGATCTCCGAGGCCCACGCTGCTACATCGAAGAATTTTACGTCCCAGCCCTCGACCTTTCTCAGAAAAACCCCACTTCAAATAATAATTCCATAATTATTAATCCTTGTCTCTTCTTCGATCTCGCCTTCCACAACGTCTTGACCTACCGCAGCGTGTACTACGAAGATCGTGTCAACGTCACCTTCTCGTACGGTCGAAGCGCCGTTGCGAGTTACGCGGTCCCCACCTTCTTCCAGGGGAAGGGGAAGACGGCCCACCGCCGGGAGGTGGTGGAGAGCCGTGGGGTGCCGTGGGAGACCGCCGTGGAGGAGGTTTTGAATGGGTCGACGGCGGTTTTCCGGGTTGACTTGGCGGCACGGCCGAGGTTTATGTTCTGGTTTTGGTATTCGAAGAAGAAAAACGTGAGGATCGGTGCTGACGTGGAGGTTGATGGGTCCGGGATGAAGGTGAAGAAAGAGTATATTAGGCTCGACTCTGGTGCTTCCCCAGTTGGGGTGGGGAATTTTTTAACGTTTACGAGTCTTTTAGTTTCTTCTCAATGTTTGTTCTATTGAGTTTACCTATTTTTATTAACGTAATTTTCCAAAATGTTGGATGAAAAAATTGAAGGTTGACCTATAAAACTATCAATTAATCTTCCATAAATTTACCAAGTTCTCTAAGTAACTAAACCCTCGTTTCTCTATTTAGGGCCAATTTTTTTCTACTGGCCAATTTTTTTGAAAACTATGACACATTTTCAACTTATTTTACTTCTACAATAATGCGTTATCCAAACTCACATTTTTAAGAAGTTGTCGTGTGTCAAGGTGATTGTGGACCATTTTGTATTTTTTCAAGTAAAATATTGATGCAAAAATTGAAAATGTATGGGACCCGCACGGTAAAAGAAGAGTTAGATAGATTGGGTTTTTGGTAGGGTAAGGGTCAGGCTGAGGGGAGGGGTTGGAGGTGTTTGCTAATATAATTATTATTAGGGTAAAATATACTTTGCACCCATGTACTATGGAAAAGGTCGCATTCACCCCCTGTAGTATTGAAAACTACAAACAGCCCCTTACTTTTAACGGTCAATGGTCAAGAAATTCACACCGTTAAAAATCAACATGCATTTACGTTTGTACCCTCTCACTTTGTTAGAATAACCCCACCAATATCCTGTCTTCCCTATTGCCAGCAGCCATTCTTCCCCATCCCCTCCGCCATCTGCCATCTTCGCCGCCACCACTAGCACCACCATCTCCGCCGTCTTACCCACTGACTCACTCCGTCTTACTCTTATTCTCCTCTGGTCCATCCATCCCCACAACCATCACTAACCGCGGGTAGTGCGACGGCGCGGAGTGACGTCGGCAAATTGGCGGCACAAATGGTGGTTGTCATAAATCTGAGAATGAGTAGTAATTGTAAGAAAGGCAACGGCTCGCTGTTTCGAGATGACGGCTCGGTGCAACCAAGGGTCGGCTCAATTAGAGCCGAAGTTAGCTTAGATGGCTGCTCAGGGGGAAGGAATGACGGCTTACAGGGAGGGAGATAGCGGCTCCAAAAATTGTTTATTCTGGATTTTGCAAAATTTTCTTGGGCACAATTCTAAAATTTTTTTTGTTGATTCAGGAATGAACTTTTTTTCTTGGGTCGTCTCAATTAATATTTTTGTTGGTTTTGGTGAATGATTTTCCTTGATTTGTTCAATTTATTGATCTCCCCTTGTTGATTCATATTTAGGAAGATGGTCAATTGATCTAGTTAATGGGTATAACTTTTTTTTCTTTTAAAGAACATTATAAACATGAAGAAATATAAGTAATTAAAATATTTTTCTAACTTTCACACAATTTTTTTTTGTAATTTTACAAACTTATAATTTTTTTAATAATTTCGTATTTAATTTCCTGCGGAATTATCATAAATGAAATATTTTATTAGTTTTAACTATATTTGCCAATTTTTTGAAACATTTAATTCATAATTATAATTGAAATTGATTTTTGATAATTTTTTGAGTCTCTGACTGATTTTTTTTTTCAATATTTTTATAATATTTATGAGATTTTCATAATAATGGTTTTCTTTAAATGGAATAGTAGGCTAAAAGGGGTAACATTGTCCATAAAATTCGAGGAAATGTGTTGCCACATCAGCTTTGACTAACGGAATGGTTAACAGTAGGGGGTTGTTTGTAGTTTTCGATACTATAGGGGGTGAATGCAACTTTTTCCATAGTACAGGGGTGCAAAGTGTATTTTACCCTTCTTATTATAAAGTAGAAAAAAATATTATACTCATGTACTTTTAATTTTGCATTCATTTTATTTTGATTAAGTATAAAACATGTTGAAATTATTATAATTTTAATTTCGAAATTAATTTGACAACATGAACATTTTTTAATTTCAAAACTTTCTTTTAAATTTCCGAATAAATTTGGGAACATAAGTTTAGAATATCTATAGAATTTTGAAAACTTCTACAATTTTGAAAAAAATCAAATATAATATAATTTTTTTGATATTTTTGAAGTATTTTATAATTTTAGAATTTTGAATATGGGTTTAAAGTTTAAAGTTGTTGTTGTTGTTGTTGTTGTTTTCAAAATTGTAAAAAAGGAACATTTTTTTACTTAATTAGTTTTTTCTTAGTTATTGAAAACAAATTAATTAAATAAATAAATTAAAAATGCTAAAACAAGGGCCCACATATCACCTTATCATTTTGTTGTGGGGTCGAAATGCAACTACGTTGATGAATGAGTTAATTATCATGAAACCATTTTTGAATTTGTTTGGAAAGGAATTCAGAACCATTATATGAACGTATGGTTTGAAGTTGAGGAAGAAAAATACATCCCCATTTTCGGAATTGAAATGAGAGACTTTTGTGTTAAATTGACGTCGGGTTAAATTAAAAAAATGAATTATCATGTTGAAAGTTTCGTATTTGTGTTTCAAGTACATCTTGAATAATCATTAACAATAGTTAAAAGAAACGTTATCCATTTTGTGAGGGTATAGAGAAAGGACCCCAAATATCAACATGAATCAATTCAAAACAATGAGAAGAACAAGATGTATGTTGAGGAAATGAAAGACGTATTTGTTTAGCACGTGGACAAACATCACAAATAAAATTCTTATTTGGAATAATATTTTGAGAATTCTTAACAATAATATTAAAACGAGGCCTGGATGGATGACCCAGGCGAGAATGCCATAGATCAAATTTATTACATTGCTTCAAAGAAAGGGTAGAATGAGAAACTAAATTGCAATCTAGATAGAAAAGACTATTGTGAGGGTTACCCCAACCAATCGTCTTTTTCCTTGATTGGTCCTCAAATATATATCCAGACGAAGACAAAATTATATCACAATTATTTGTGGATTTTGTAAATTGTGAAATGGATAACAAATCGAACTTAAAAGATGGAATGTAAAAAACATTCGTGAGAATGAAAGTACCAAAACATTTGACAGTGCCCATGTGAGTCACAGAAGCATGAGAGCCATCGGGCCATTGAACATATATGTTTTTATGAATAGGGGCATAAATAAAGAAAAAAATGAGAGAGATGTACATATATGATTAGAAGCACTGGAGTCAATAATCCAACAAAATGACGAAAATGTGTGATTTTTACATGCTAAGTGCACTGAGGGTCCACTAGTTTCTTCTTTGGCAAAAAGTGTTTGAAGCTTGTTGTATTGTTCATGCGTGAGTGAACTAGCCATAAGAGTGGAGTTGGATGGTGGTGGCCTTGATTTCTACACATGTTTTTCGGGAAAGCCATGAAGTTGATAACATGTAGCAATAGTATGACCATGTTTATTGCAGTTTTCACAAAATGGACTTTAACGTTTTCCCGACAAACGAAATGGAGGTTTAGTTAAGCTTAAAGTGCAGCGGCATCAACAGTAGAAGTTGTGAGAATATTAATCTCTTGTTGCTTTTCTTCTTGACGAATTAAATTATAGATACATTGAATGGAAGGAAATGGTTCCGTCAAGAGAATTTGACTGCGAATAGCGGAAAAATGATCACGTAGTCCTTGAAAAAATTTCATGGATCGATCTTGATTTTGTTGGTCAATAATACTTTAAGCATTACCATAAATATATGAATTGATATGAATAATGGAACTGAGTTCATCCCATACATATTTGAGTTGCGTAAAACACAGAACTCCAATGCAAAATTATGGAATTGAATAAAAAATATAGAAAAAAGTTAATTCAAATAGTGAATTGTAGGATATATTTTTAGATTCTCAATGGTTATGGCCATTGGCCAACAATCACATCCTAGGAAAATAATTCAATGAAAAAATTCCGTAACTTTTTATATAAATGAAACACCTCCATGTGGTGGTGATTTTTCACTTATTATTTTCCACAAAATTAATTTCTCATTCACCAACAAATAATTTTGAGAAAATAAATTTAATTTACTTAAATATTTAAGTCAAATTTTCTAAAGTATATATGGCTCTCCAATAGTAAAATCCTAGTTTCGCCACTGATCACTGATCACACCTACATTTCAACTCACTTCCCTTTTCCCCAAATAACACAAAGTCAATACATGTACGGGACGGTTTCAACCAATGTACCATTATACTTGTTCTCTAGGTATACAAAGTCTATTCCCATTTACAAAGATAAAACTATACTCTAGATATATATATACATACATATATATACACATATATATAGCTTCTTCTCAACGGATTTCTCTTTATAGCAATTCAACAATGAAGTTAAGCGAATGTTGCTGCTTATGCTACTGTATTTACGCTCCAATCAGCGCTTGCATTGTTATAACCATCTGCCTAACCGTCGACAATAACTACTACGCAGGCCCACTCTGCTGCATCAAAGAATTCTATGTCCCCGCCCTCGATCTGTCGTCCCGGGACAAGATTCCGTATAATAATAATAGTAATAAAAATAATACCGTGATTAACCCTTCTCTCTTTTTCGATCTCTCCTTCCATAACATCGAGTTCGAGCACAGTATACGCTATGGAGATGTTAACATCACCATCTCGTACGACCGAAACGGCACCATTGCGAGCTACGTAGTTCCGAGCTTTGACCAGGAGTGGTTGGAGACGGACTACCGGCGGGAGGTGGTGGAGAGCCGCGGAGTGCCGTGGGAGAACGCTTTGAAGGCGGTTTTGAATGGGTCCACGGTGGTTTTTAGGGTTGACCTGGCGGCGCGGCCAAAGTTTAAGAGACAGTTTGGGAAGTATTCCAAGAAGAAGGATGTGAGGATTGGTGCTGACGTGGAGGTTGATGGAACTGGTCTGAACTCTGAAGGTGAAGAGAGGGGATATTCCGCTCGACTAGGCTGCTTCACAGCATTAGGTAGGATTTATTTTTTTTTTTCGTTTTTTTTAATATGAATTGGAATTGTTGATTGTACTTTGTTGATTGTACATTGATCTTGTTGTTTTATGTGTTTTGTGCTGTGCACGAATTAACTATACAGTTCTAATTTTTTGAGTTCGTTTTTTATATATACTCGCGTAAATTACAACCCGCCTTGAGGTATGGTC